GTATTAACATTGGATTTTATTTCCAGTCCAATTCAACCTTGGAAATCAAAGCAGACGTCAAGAATTCTACATCAAGATAAGTTTTTATTATTATTATTTTTTCTTTTTCACACTATCTTTTGACGTCGCGGCGTGCATGGAAAACTGGGTTAATAATATTTTTTTCGTAGCAATGATCTTTTTAAAATTTGTGTTGCCTCTCTATTTCATAAATTTTATATCCCAAAACACTTTTTTGGCCACATGCATAATATTTTTTTTCTATCAAATACGTAATTTGTATAATTAAATATTTTTATTTTTGCTTCTTTTACATAGATTTTTGGTGCGAATTTGATATTAGAAAAATAATTTAAAATCTTCATTTATTTGTCAATAAATAAAATAATTCAACCGCCATATTGAGAACAATTTTATATTAAAAATTTAGAGTAAAAAGAGTCGCCCAATAAGGTACAACAAATACAGCCATTTAAAACCCAGAAAAAAGAAAAAAAGAACAGAAGTGCACCTTTGAGTACAGATCAAGCAAAGCTTACTTGAATAGTATTTAAATATTCAAACAAAAAGGCCCAATTGAGCTATGTGCGCATGTTACCTGACCCTCTTTAGCCATGGTCGACTGACATTATCAATGGACATGGTATCTTCATTGTGTTAAGTGATAAAATTCTACATCGAATAAAGAAGTAAAATATAGATCAATTTATAAGATTTTGAGTTACTCATTTTAATAAGGTTGATTTTTTAAGACGAGATCTCAAATCTTAACATGGTATCAGACATTCTAAACTCCACAAGCAATTCGATCCGATTAAGATTCAAAAAAATAAAATAAAAATTGAGCACATGAATTTCAAGATTAATTTGCTCAAACGAACCATCATCTTACGAGAGCATGCTAAGGGATAAAATCCCACATCGAATAAAGATGAAAATATAGATCAATTTATAATAGTTTGGACTACTCATCTTAATAAGATTTGTTTTTTTTAAGATGAAATTTCAAATCTTAACAAAAAGTTTAAACAAGAAAAACTGTGGTGTTTCTTAAAAGAGTCATGCTACAGGAATCGCAGGGATGACTGAGCCGGTGACCGCGCACACACACATGGGGGGTCGGGATAATTTTATTTGGGTGGGACCCTCGCCTCGGCTGTGAAGACGCGGTCATCCATGCGGGTCATCCAGAATAATTCTTCTTAAAAAGTATAACTATTTTAAAAATTGATTTTGAAGAAAAAAAGGCGAAAGGAATTATCCGGTAAACAGCCATCTTATTGATTACGAGAACACGTCTTTAAGACATTTTATGGGATAATGTAATTCTTAAATCAAATTCAATACAACTTTATAATACGTAGCATTTTTACTTTTTTAAATGAGATAACAAAATCACTTATGACAACTTTATAATACGCTTAGGACATCCTCAGTTTTCAACATTGCAGTTATTAAAAAATAAATGACCGATTGATATCACAGGAGCTATAAAATCTGACTGAACATCTATGTGATGGTTTTCAATTAGGAAAGCTCAATAGATTAACTTTCTCAAGTTCTGAGCATTTAAGTTCTAATATTTTTGATAAAATTCATTGTGACTTGTCGGGACGTGCCCCAATTTTATCTATTCGAAAGTTTAGATATTATGTTTGTTTGGTAGATGACTTCTCTAAGTACACATGGATTATTCCCTTACAACGTAAATCAGATTTGTTACTGCATATTTTGCTCAAAACTTTTCACTCAGATGGAGGCTGTGAATTCAACATGGACACTACATCAGGTATCTTGACCATATACACTAGAACAAACAAGTATGGTTGAAAGACGCTATAGAATTATACGAGAATTGGGTATGACTATGCCATTTCATTGTGGTGATCCTCTTTTTTTGTGGGTCGAGGCTTTTCAAACTACTGTTTATCTTGTTAATTATCGTCCTTCATGAAGCATTAACTTTGAGACTTTTTTTTTTCAATTACACAGAACTCATCCGGTTTACTCTTCTATTTGTGTTTTTGGATCAAAATGCTTTCCATACACGTGGGACACACGACTTCATAAATTTGATCCCAAATCTATTCTCTGTCTTTGTAGGTTACAGTGATAAACATAAGGGATCTAAGTGCTTTCATCATCTTACAAAAAAATTCTTTATATCCTGACGTGTTGTGTTTGATAAAAGAGTCTTCCCATATAAGTAATCGTTTGATTTCCCGCAAGTGAATGAGATCGTGAACAAGTAATATAATAGTGTGTAGATTGTCGAACTCACGAGAACTAAGTATTCAATCGAGTTCAAATTAATTGTAACCTTAATCGAATAATAAATAGATTTTGAATTTTCTATACAAATTCTTAAATTATCAATTAAACTANTCTCTATCCTCTATCGAACCTTACAATGTTTATTACAATGTGCTTAATTCATATTGTCTCTCTCAAAAATAATAAAATTCAATTGATAATCAAGCAATTGAAAAGAACGATAAAAACGATAATAAATATCCACAAATCAAATAAAATTAAATTCAAAAAATTAATTAAAAACTAAAAATATCATAACAAGGGTTCATCTCATCCTAACAATGTATGAAATTATCCTAACATATTGAAATTACAAGAAATCATATTTAAGTGAAAAGATATAACCCAAATTTTTGATAAATTGAGAAGATGAAGATGAATCTTAAAATCTTGAATCTCTTCAATGGTTTCTTGATAAATCTCCAATTGTGCCTTCTTTTCTTTACCCAAAAATTAGGTTTGAATTTTCACTTGATTGAATTCTTGCAAATCTTTTTCAATTTTCTCACAAAACTATAATTCTCCTCATTTGATGATAATAATTGATGAATAATGGAGTATAATATATACATGAGATTTCCCCAATATGTATTTTGCTATTATGTATTTGTAAGAGTTGAAAATTGGTTAAAATCACTTCCAAATTGACTTCCGAAAGAGTTCCAGTCGAAGAAGGAAAGTTATCTTCGTGCGCAGATTTTTTGTCTCTACACAATAATCAGTATTTTGGCCATAAATGTTTCTTCCAATATTCGATTGAAGCGATTCAAATTGTTTTGGTAAGATAACTCAAATGGCTACAACTTTGATAGAAATATAATTTTCCCAATTCGGACGTTTACTATACCAAAAATGGGTCTCAATATTCGGCTAAAAATTTGGAATATAACTTGTGCTATTAGATATTGATTGTGATAAAATTTTGATCACAGTCCATTCATTTTTGAATTCAAATTCCATCCAATTGTCTCCTAAAAATCTTCCAACTCATCTTTTGATCAGAATCAACTATTGAATATTTGCAATTTGATTCCCAAACTTTGAATTTTGTCATTTTTCACCATTTTTCGCTTCTTTTTTTTCAATTCCTCATCCAACCATTGAGTTTTACCTATATAACATAAAATACAACAATTTAGGATATTTTTGTCAAAATAACTATCAAACATCGCTATTTTAGATCTCGAATAAGTGTATAAAATACACTTATTAAATACCCCCAAACTTAAACATTTGTTTGTCCTCAAACAAAATTATAACCTAAATAATAACAAACATGCAAAATTATTGGGTTAGACAATCTAGCTTTTTATCTTATTATTTGAAATTACAGTACTAAATCTACAAATTGTTTCAAAGTCACACTACCAAACTAATATCCACTTTTCAAATGCAAAACTGGCGTGTGTGTGAAGAATTAAGTAGACAATCATGAATTTAAAAATTGCTTCAAATCCTAACTCTTTGTGGTCAAATATATCTTTTCACCTCTCGTATGATTCACACACCCCCAAATTTGTTCTTTTTCACTTTTTTCCCAGTGTGTAATCTAAGGTTGAATTTTTCATTAATATCCTCACCCTTTTTAGTTCAGGTAGACTCTACTAATTGGAAGTCAACATATCAATAAATAAGGATTCTCCAATTCTTTGATTGTTTCGACCTCTAGAACTAGACTAGGCTAATAATCCCTCATCAAAAAGTCTTTTCAAATAAGTTTTGGGGTTTAATCAGAGCATTTGGTGCGTCTTCTGTTTCATGTACTTATTTTTTTTCAATTTTTTTCACACTCTCTCCCTTAAACTTTCTATATAATCCATGTAATGAGTTTTTGGTCGATAACTCCCAAATTAGATGATTTTAGGGCACCAGGTTGTAAATACCCTAGCGGGCTTAATAACTCGAGTCATAAAGGCTACGAATATATGTTTTTTTTTTATATATTCTTCTACTATGATTAGTGCAATGCCACTCATTAAACACTCATCTAATCAAACCGATCTCTAATTTAAGATTTTTGTCCAATTTTATCCGTATCTTCATACAACTGTAAAACATCTTCAAACTATGCTAAATTTGGTCTAAAGATCATCAATATAGGATAGTTTTGGGTATAGCATCTATGTTCAACTATATCAACCTATCAATTATATGAATCAACTAATAGCATCACGCTGTCCAACTTAATTATAGTGCATGTATAATATCAAGTTTTGCAAGATTAAGTCTTAATCAGTCTAGTATGCATCTTATTCACAGTTCATAAATCAACACCACATCTCAAATTTAATCATCATCGCCGGCCAGATTATCTAACTCATACAAACATACAACCCGAAACAAGAATTTTTTTTTATTATATATTAAAGCAATAACGAAAAACAACACTAAAACCGACATCGCCTTAATGTCATAAAATATAAGTAAGAATATAAGGGGAAGAAAAGGAAGAAGGTACTCCCTAAATTTCTTTGTTGAAGATATGAGGCATTATGTATGACGACTAGACAATCTTCTTTATCATGTTTTTCCCTTTGTTTGTGTTGGTTTGAGTATTTCACGACGTCTTGTTCATACACATAGCGGTTAAATCAATGATGATAGCAAATGCAACCAACATGGAAGGAAAGTCCAGCAATGGAAACCGATTATATGGTAACCAGACTCTTCTAAAAACCTCTAAGAAAATGCACAGAAGTAGAAATAAGTCTAGGTGCATTAGACTAAAATAAACTGAAGATATGAAAGGCATGATATCCTGCGGATTTTGTGCAGTTTATGTGGGTTTTGTGTGTGTGTTTAAATATGATATCATGTACAGCCTTATGTTCATGCTCATTTTCAATGAAATAAGAATTCAGTTCTCTCTTACAAATAACTCCTTATTATTATTTTTTTCTTCTTTACGCATTAAACTCGAATTTAATCGTGAAAGTATAAATAAGTAAACTTAGATTTAAAAGATACTGGACGCGCATAGATATATACGAAATTCAAGAATTCAATAAGGTGACAATCCACGAAGCGGCTTGTCAACATGAATCCTATTGGTTATTCATTAATCTCTAATCTCAATCGTGAAAGCAAAATTAAAATGAAAAGATACTAGATACATAAATTATAGAGAATTCAAGAATTCGATTATTGACGGTTCCATACAGCTTGTCAACATGAGTCCTATGAAGTTACATATTAACCTGTAATCTTTATCGTGAAAGTGAAAAGAACAAAATTAAGTCCCCATTTGATTTAGATCAAATCAGATTTTTGGTATATTTTGATAAAACTTGATAGAATGTGTGGTTGAAAACTTGTGGGCCCCATAAAATATGTGATCAAGATTAATTGTTGACTTTAATTTAGATTAAAATCTAAATTTTAATCGCAACCAAATAGGGGCATAATTTTTTTATAAAAATTGGTGAAATATGTGAAACAAAAGTTGTGGTTCCCATAAACAGTGTGATTAAAATTAATTGTTGGCTTTAAGAAATTCAAGTATTCAATTAGCTAACAACCTACCTTACTATTTGAAAGTTATGCAATTCGACCCTAACAATACCTAGAGGGGGTGGATAGGTATATTATGCGGAATTAATTTTTTTTTTTTACGAATTAAACAGCAATAAATCACTTTTTAATTCTTCTCTAGATGATTAAACATGCAAGTTATTTTAGTCCTAAATTTGAATATCGCAGTTTATATGATCAATCAATAAACAATAAAGAAAGTAGTAAATCAACACCAGGATGATCACGGGGAAACCCAATTGGAAAAAACTCCGGACATTTTGCTAGACAATCCACTATAAACAATTCAAACAACTTACAGTCTATCAGACTAAACGAACCGTACTATCTGATCACTCGAATGCACTCCTTACAGCTCTCCGTAGATCCTGTACTCCCCTGCACCAATCTTTAGCTGATGTTGCCAAAACTCTCCGTGGAATTTGCTACCCTGCAGCACTCCTAACTTTGTGGAATCTTCTATTTCCCGTGGATCAACGAAGAACACCGCGTTCTTCATCGACTGGAACTCCAGTCAAACTCTCTCGATTTTCAGAACTCTGACCAAATGTAGATAAAAGATAGTTTGGCATTTGAATTATAAAAACAATATTTTTCTCACCAAAACAATCAAAGTAGATGAATGTTGAAAGATAAAATCGAATGAATCTCTCACAGATGAAGCACTCTCAATGTTCAACCTCATAATTTTCGTACAGATGTGTTTTGGTATATATATGTTAGTTAGAAAAACGAATGGGCCAGGTAAAAAACTTTTAAATCGCGGAATAAAAATTTTCCGGATAACCACTTCGCTCGAGCGAAAAAGGGGCGACAGTCTAGCAACAATTTTTCTGCTTTTGTAGCTCGAGCAAAACCTTCGCGCCATTTTTCTCTTTTTGCCATTCTCGAACCCTAGACTTAATAATCATATTTTCAACTATTTGCACATTACTCATTGATTTTTTAAATATAGTACAATTCAATCATTTTATTTACAGAATTGTCAATTACAAAACATCTAAAACCTAACACGATGCATGAATATGAGTCATGTGTAACTATGCATTTAACTCTAATATCAATTGTGAAAGTAAAAATAAGCAAAACTAAATTAAAAAAAAAAGGCTAGATAGAGATTTATAGGGAATTCAATAATTTAATTAACTAACAACCCACCGAACACGTTGTCAACACAAATCCATTGCGTAATTAAATTATAATCTCAATTAGGAAATGAAAATAAGCAATAGTAATTACCCACCGAACACGTTGTCAACACAAATCCTTTGCGTAATTAAATTATAATCTCAATTCGGAAATGAAAATAAGCAATAGTAATTTGAAAGACACAAGATACACATGATAGTGATTTATAGTACTTGATTTTTACAATAATGAAGAAAAGTATACAAAAGACCCCATGACTGTCTTTTCACAAAAATGGTGTCTCCTAAAATCATAAAATTCTTTATATGTTGTAAGAATATTACCATGACCTACAACGTTACTTAATATTGTATAGTTGCCTTAATACATGTATCGACTATCTAATATTAAGCCCCCGTTTGATCTACATTATTATTTCATTAAAATGAAAAATATGACCGTTATCCATCATATCAACATTTAAATTCAAATTTTTTATAACTTATGTGGGTCTCAATAACGACTATATTTTTATGCTCATTCTACAATAATTTGGCTTAAACGGGGACTAAATCAGTTTAAAGTATAACTAGATTTAGAATCTAGTAATAGGTTTTGATTTTAAATCGTTAAAAGAAACATGAAAAGGACTGGATGACAAGTTTATTGGTAACCAACAACGATAAATTCAATGTCGTTTAATTGACACATAGGAACCGTTTAGTTTTAGGTGGGAAGCATTATCTAATATAATATTAATAAATTTTGGTTATGTACCATTAAAAAAATGGTCAAAAGTCAAGGTAGATAATAACTAATTTAAGTTTACAAAGAGTTTGTGGGTATCCATTACCTAAAACAAAAAATAATTGAGTAGCTGACTGATACCTAAAACAAGCAAAAGTCCGTCTTGATGTATTACAAAGTAAACTAAAGAATTGGAAAAGCACCTAAGGAATTTGATTTCAACAAAGTTTAATAAACGAATGGTCTAGCATTCCCATTTATTGGTATATATATATATATACACGCACATAATGCGGTGTCCATCCGCTCACATGGAGGGGGACCCACTTCGAATTGGGTCCCCCTCTATGTGAGGGGGTGAATACCGTTATGAACACCGCATTATGTACAATTGTACAAGTAGCATATTCCTATATTGGATAAATCTGTATGTACATAATTATTGTACATAATGGATTACATAGGCTCATGTGGAAGAAATTTGGCGGTGGATGTGAAGTGTGGAAAAGTCAAAAATTGTAGACTACCGATGGACGTGCGCCACATGTTAATTATATAATGTATTATGTAAATAATTATGTATTTGTAGTATGGTCCTTCCTATATATATAGGCCGTTTTGGCAGCATAAAATTGTGTACCATTCTTTGGTAACTGCTCTTCACAGACTCACAGTTGGTCAGTCAAACTTTGTGTTACCTAATTTCATTTCATATTACTCTAGTTAGTTGCAGCCTATTGGAAATTACCATTTATTTCTGCATCACATTCACACCATATTCCACCGCCCAGCTAGTCTTCTGTTTCTCCTATACAGAAGGGATTTTTGAACTTTTTGACAGAGGTTAATTGGTGAAGAAAAAGCCAAGGCTTTTCATTGCTTCTTCAGAGAGGTAATCACACACAATCCCTGAAACCCAGTAGTTTTTTTTTTTCGTTTTACGCTGGCGAAAAGGAATTCATGTATCCGACCCTGAAGCATGGGTTTTACCATTTATGGCAGGAAAGAAGATGGCTTGGAAGAGACAACAGGGTTTGCTTTTGGGATGGCTGGGAATTCTTCTGCAGTTGGTCGTTCTTACTGAATGTGCAATGAGAAGGCAGTTAAGTTCTCATTCTCGATTGTTATTTTGGTCTATTCTTGAGTTTCTTTTTTTTTTTTTAAAGATTTTAGTTACTTTAATATTTATAAGAACCCCACCTCGTCAGTTCTTGGTACCAGGGTGTTCTATGTTTATTTTCTCTCTCTCTCTCTCTCTCGCTCGCTCGCTCGCTCACACACACACACAAAATACATATTCGATTCAGCATGTTCTTGGGTGTGAGTGAATTTTTGCTTTTTGGATTTTAGTTGTGGCAGAGAAAGGGAAAGGGACATGACTCCACCATATGCTCCCGTGATCATGGTTCCAATAAAGCTATAAAGGGTTCCTTCTTATTTTTTTTCTCTCCCCTCCCCCCAAGCCAACTCCATACATCTGTTTGTACTTAATAATGTGCTATAGCCCAAATTCTATGGAGGTTTGGCAATCTAAATAAATTGTCCCGTTGACAAATTATAGACCAATGCTACACGTACAGGAAAGTTTTATGGAATTCATGCAAGGGACACTTGACACAGTGTCTTTGGCCGTTGGCGAAAAATAAAAATAAAAAAAGGAAACAAAATATTCTTTGAAGAATTCCCCTGTACTTGGGGATAATTCTCCTTACGTTTGATATTATTAGACAAATAACGAACGGTAGTCATAATCAGACTGCGATTTTGTTCTTAACCAATAATATTTATCTTAAAAGTTACTAATAATTTTATCGAAAGGATCCATAGTAATGAAAATCTATATAGAAAAATAACAGTGATGGTTGAATAAGTTTGTCTACAAGTTAGCGCGGGAACGATGGGATAGACATTTGGTACCAAGCATCATATATTTTTTCTTGGAAAATTCTGTAAGTATAGGTTTTTTCCTCACAGGTTTTTTTACATGTGTTGCGTTGTTTGGTCACTTTATTATTGTACTTTTTTTTATTTGTCTTTATCCATTCAAAAATTGACAATTGTATTCCTCTGTTGATTTTCTTCATATAAGTTGGATCACGTGTGTACTGAATGACAAAACCATTTATTTATGTTTCCTTCTTGCTTGGAATCATGCTAAAGGACAACCAAATATGTTCGGAACCACACACTATTTATCGTTGCCCGTGAAATTCTCTGTTGAAGTCCAAAAACCAATCTGTTCAGTCACGACGATATCAGTTCATCACAGAATTTTTCCCTGCACCGGGGTCCACACTACTTTATTTTCTTTTAATCATACAAGTTACAACTCTAAGTCAAAAATATTTGCCCGTTTGAACCACATTATTTTTTTCATTCTTATTTTTTTTACTCATTTTCAATCACACATTTTTCAATAAAATAATATCTTTCATGACATCAATATAAAAAATGCATTCTTACTGTAAAAATGTACACCAAACAGGAGCTTAATCCTAAAATAGGACAAGAGCCCCTTTGGCCTATGCTTATGAATTGCCCTTGGTACTCACAGAGAATTGAGAAATAAGTGTCACAATCAATAATATGTCGAAGTCGTATATTATACTTGACGATGACTTGTCTTATATAAGTGGAATAGTATAGTGTCTTCTGAGATGACATGACATCACCCATAGCAAAAAATAAGGATTTTCACGTAACTTGTGGACAAGGCTCATATTGAAATTGACGGATCACTGAACACAACAATTTTTTTATTTATTATTTTTTGATTAAATTTAGAGAAAATAGCAAAAACTTGCTTACAAGGCCTACCCATCCTGGGCCTAGTAGCCCATTAACTGGGGTCCCTTTACCTTAGGTTGTGAAGTGAGAAAACAAATCATTGCTTGATTGTCGAATACGGGTCGGGCCCTCTTCCAGGCTTGGCCATGACCGTTTCATGTTCCTAATTTTTCTTTGTTATTAATACAGAAAGATTCAAAAAAAGAACAATACAGATGCGGCGTCTTTCCCTTCCGTCCAGTTGCAGATATTGGATGAATACGTAAAATCGCATTTTAAGTTTCTTTGTTTATTCATTTTCTGTACTTTCTTATTATTATCGTTAACTTTGCTGTATGCAGGTGGTGGTGGATAATGGCCTTGTCAATGTTACTTTGTCTAACCCTGGGGGTATGATCACCGGAATACAGTACAACGGCATTGATAATTTATTGGAAGATGATTATAAAGAAAACAATAGAGGGTAATGCCATTTTCTTTATTTATTTTAATTTTTTGGTTTTTGGCCCCAAGAATCAAATTGTTGATTAATTCTTGTTAAATAAATGTAGGTATTGGGATGTTGTTTGGAGCAAACCAGAACATCCCATTGACATTTATGACAAGTAAGTCTCATCGTCTTTATCACTTTAACGTGGTTTTTTGAAAAAATAGGACTAACACGTGGATATAAATTCTTTGAAATTTTATATTCATATATTTTATATTTATTTCTATTATTTCAATATGGGATGAGACGCATATCATGTTTTACACTTGTTCGAGGGGCGGTGTCCCTCGAGTGTTGGTAATTTAAAAAATAAATAGAATATGGGACAAAGCATGGGGCTTGTTGGATTCGTGTCCTTGAGTGTTATGGTATTACACGAAATGGACACGCCATCATAGTAAAAGTGTCTGTGCATCATAGTGATAGAACGAAGATACAAATTACTGTTAATTTCTTAGGATGTGTTTGATTGTGAGCATGAAATTTGGATGAAAATAAAATAAATTCTATGCAATTGATGGAAATTATTAATTAAATATATTTGATTGCTTTAATTTTCAACCTAGAAAATGTTATAGTTGTCCATCTTTTATTGGTAGGTAAATGAGACATGTGGATAGATAAGAGAGAAAGTGAGTGAATTGCTTGGAAAATAAAATCCTACTTCCCCTAAAGAATTAAATTTCCTTATTTTCGAGGAAAATATTATCACGTGATCAAAAGCAGAAAAACATTTTTCATGGAAAAAATCAATTAAACAACAAAAATGTAGGAATTTGGATGGAAAAAACATTTTCCATGGAAAATATTGACAATCAAATGCACATATTCAGGAAACTTTTGTGAATAGATTCACTAAATTTATGTCTAACATCTCGTATGACAGCTTTTTTTTTTAAAGATTTTGATAAAAGTATGAAATGTATATCGAAAAGTTGTGGGTGCCATGAAATGTGTAGTTAAAATTGAAGTTTGACCATGAAAATTTAGCAAAGTTTTATGAAAGAAACACCTAATTGAAAATATTTTTCCATTTTCAAAATGAATCTGGTGGTGTATGATTACTTTTTAGATATTTTTACTTTGAAAAATTACTTAGCCGAGTAACTAAGATGTATCTTGGTCCAGGCTTGCTGGGACTAGTTTACAGGTTATAAAGGAAGATGAAAACCAAGTGGAGCTGTCATTCTTGAAACCATGGACATCTTCAAACAATGTACTTCCGCTAAATATTGACAAAAGGTGCTGTGTACGTCCATTTTATTCACTTATCTAAGGAGATGTTATTCATTTGCTTGTGAAGTTTACTGAACTTCAAACTACTACACAGGTTTATAATGTTGCGTGGCTCTACTGGATTTTACTCGTATGCAATTTTTGAGCGCTTAGAAGGTTGGCCTGATGTTAATTTATCACAAGGCCGAATAGCATTTAAGCTAAAACCCAACTTGTATGGACATCCTTACTTTCTCTAAAACACAGTTACATGCATATGTAACACATAATCAAAGACAAAATCTTTGTAACACGATCCTGTGTTTTATGTTCAGGTTTCAATTCATGGCAGTATCCGATGAAAGGCAAAGGATCATGCCGACAAGCCTAGATCGTGAGAGAGGTCAGGTTCTAGACTACCCAGAAGCAGTTCTTCTAACAGATCCAGACAATTCTTTCCTCAGAGGAGAGGTAGGTAGACTGTATACTTTAAATTAATTGAAACTTGTTGCTGATTATAGTCTTCCTGAAGGATTAGATGACGAGCTTCTTACTACTGACAAAGTCGAGAATAACCATAAGAACCCTACAACTAGCAAAGAACAAAGAAAAGGATGCCCCGATACTATATAGAGTCAAGAAAACTATTAAGATTTGTAGCTTGCTAAATATTACTTGCAAATTGTACCTAAGCACTTGATATTGTTATATATGTAGGTTGATGACAAGTATCAATATTCAAGTGACAATAAGGATTGTCGAGTCCATGGGTGGATAAGTGCAAACCCGCCCTCTGGATTTTGGATAATCACTCCAAGCAATGAGTTCAAAACCGCAGGGCCTGTCAAGCAAGATCTCACTTCTCATGCTGGTCCAATCGCCCTATCTGTAAGTATTTCATATGATCAACTTCTTTGCTTATCTAATACGACATAGATTTGTGTGAAATAATTAAGAAGTTGGAATGATTGATGCAATAAAGATTGCATTGTTGTTGAACAGTTTTATTTTTACATCTTGCATAGTTTTTAATAAAAATTTGGCCAATATTTATATGTACTATCAATTTACTTTGCTAAGCAATGCCATGCAGATGTTCTTTAGCACCCATTATGCTGGAAGTCCTTTAATAATAAACTTACGTGATGGAGAACCATGGAAAAAGGTCTTTGGCCCTGTTTTTATCTACCTAAATTCTGTTTCTGATGATGATGATCCTCTTACACTTTGGGCTGATGCTAAAGAACAGGTATCGCCTAATACTTTTATCAATATTGTTTGCCAGAAGAATATCTAATTTAAATTAATTTCTATACTTGCCCGTGATATTTATTAGATGCTCATAGAGACAGAAAGCTGGCCATACAATTTCCCTATGTCAGAGGACTACCCTTATGCTAAGAAGCGTGGTATAGTAACTGGTCGATTGCTAGTCCGTGACAGGTATATCCTTCTATTATGTTCTGATATCAATATTCAAAGAAATAAAGTAAAATTAGCTAAGAAAAAAATCAATTAGTTTTTTTCGTATATTAACTACAGAGGTATGAGTGCAATAACTTGTGACGTGCTGTCACTTTTAGTGTGCAAATATGACTTCAATACTCAGATTAAATGAATGGTAAATGAAAGAAATGGAAAATTTAAAAACTTGAATATATTTTTCCAGTTATATCAATGAAAGGCTTATAAGTGCAAGATCTGCTTATATTGGATTGGCTCTTCCTGGAGACACTGGTTCATGGCAAAGAGAAAATAAGGTTTTAATTCTTGATTCATACATTTTTCATTTAAAATGGACTGGCTTATGATGTTTAGCTTTCTTAATGATTCTTGTTATTCCCTTTCTGTTTCCACAGGGCTATCAATTCTGGACACAAGCTGATGACAGGGGGTACTTCATAATTAAGGGTGTTCGAGTGGGAAATTATAGTTTGTATGCTTGGGTCCCTGGATTTATTGGAGACTACAAATATAATGCTTATATCAACGTCCGACCAGGTTCGAACTCATAAGATCTGTTCTTTCTTAAATTAGCTGTTTTACTTTTAATAAATGGCATCATATATCTATTTTTTTTTTAATGATATAAAGGAAACACAATAAGATTGTACAATCTTGTATATGATCTTCCAAGAAACGGTCCGACCTTGTGGGAAATTGGCATCCCTGATCGGACTGCTGCCGAGTACTTTGTGCCGGATCCAAACCCGACTCTTATGAACCAACTATACATTAACCATGGCGAAAAGTATGTATGGAGGCTTTGATTTACTTCCAATGATTTTTCATACCAAATGTACGCAAGCATCTTTACATCACATGTAACACTAACTCAACAGGTTTAGGCAGTACGGTTTATGGGATCGCTACACAGAACTGTATCCTGAGCAAGATTTAGTTTATACAGTTGGTGTCAGCAACTATCAGACAGATTGGTATTTTGCTCAAGTAAACAGGTATAGGAAAAAGATTTTTGTATTCTTGATTGTTAATATTTTTCATTGTTCTAGTTTTAAAATTCCATTGTAGGAAAACAGGAAATAAAAATTACATTCCTACAACATGGCAAATTGTATTTGATCTCGATGATATTGATGAGCAAGGAAATTACACACTTCAACTGGCATTGGCATCGGCTACTGATGCTGAATTGCAGGTATGCTCTCGATTGCATTCAAGCTCCTGTTTGGGGTTGCGATGTTGTTTTAATTACTTTTATTTTTTTGCTGTGTGTAAGTGGTAAGTGTTTTCTTTAATTCAATATTAATTGGATGTTTAGGTCCGGACAAACGATCCAAGTACAGAAACTCCTCATTTTTCGACAGGTCTGATAGGCAAAGACAATTCAATTGCTAGGCACGGCATTCATGGTTCTTACTGGTTATACACTATTACTGTACCGGGATCCCTACTTCTCACCGGAACAAACATAATTTTTCTAACTCAATCAAGAGGTGAAATCCCTTGGAGGGGAATCATGTACGACTACATTCGTCTTGAAGGGCCATCTGAAAGCATTGATAAGCAAAAGCAAAAACACAGAAATGTATCTGTTCCAGTTAGAAAGCCCTGAGTAGATAGTTAGGTACCTTTGTTGGATGCTATTTAAAAAGGAAATTATTGCTTTCCAGGGCTTTCCGCTCCCTTTCTTAGAATTTGAATCCATCGAGGGGGGCAGAGAAGATGATGCAGAAGGGTAGTTTTGTGCTGAAGATGTCAACTAATTTAGTATAGATTAACCCTCCTTATGTTACTATGGGAAAGGGCATTTGTGAATATGTTCTATTTTTATGGAAATACAACTTTATATCGTCTTTCTTTTACTAAAGTATTTCTCGACACTAAACTCAATTTTGGGACAATTTTTGATTCATTCAAGACTCCCAACTTGTATGTTATTTCCTCGAATAAATTTCTCCAATAAGTTTGGCAGTGGGTGTGCATTCTATGTAGTTATACGCTAATACATTTCAGCTCGGTTTGTTTACTTGACTTTGATTCTTTGTTATCTACCAAAAAAGTCTTGATTTCTGTTCCTAATTTTTCCATGAGATGTAGGAAGAGAAAAAGGAGCCACAGTCATTGTCTAGATATTTTTAGTAGTCAATCCAATGTGTTTCAAGAAATTTGTGGATCGTGGGTTGGTGACATAGCTTTTTCTTGTTTTTGTTGTTCAAAAGCATCTTATCAAACATTGAAAATAATTTCCTTTTTGTTGACATTTAAATAATACTATTAACACATACTCAAACGAATAGTATTATGTCGTTTTATATCAATAATCTATGTTGAATATGTGATTTAAATTCCGAAGTTGGTTCGTATTTTGATTGAAAAATGAGTTTAAGAGGGATCAAAGTTGGTAATTGAAAATTTGGAGCAACAACTAAACACTTGAGCGCCAAAACAGGGTGCCTAGGCTCTAAGAAACAAATCTTAGGATTGAAACTCAGCGTCCGAACGCCATTGGTAGCGTTAGGCTGCCGCTTGCTTGGTGTCGGGTTGCCACACGCTACTTGCCTGGCGCGAGGCTGAGCTGAAGCCTCATGTGAAAAAGTTTTGTTTCCATTTTTTTGGCTCGTTTTTTATTCATTTTCCATTTTAAACTTATTCTTTTGGATCTTATATATACTCCACGAATTGTATGGTTTTCATATGACTTTGTATGAGTTTTAGTGAGTTAGACAATATTGAAAACACAATTCATTGTATTTCTCCCTGTATTAATAAATTCTTCGTTCCTCTGCCAATTGTTATTGTTTCTTTTAGTGTTGTGCTTGATACTTTTTATTGTGGCGTATAATCTCATCATTATTTCATAACAATCTATAGTAAACTGATTTTTATAAGCAATATACATACAAGAAGGGTACGAGATCGGAGATAGGAGAGAGGTATTATGAAATACATTTTAAAGTGTCAATGAATTAATATGTCATGTTATCGGTACTTAGCATAAGATAACATTTTCTTTCTATACCTTTCGAAATTAATATTATTCATTAAACAATGATTTATTAATTAACGAAGGTTAATCAATTAACAGACATGAAATGGGCTAGAATAGCATTTTCAAAACAACAATATCTAATTGCTTTGAGCACACGTTTCTTTGAAAAAATAAAATAAAATAAAATAAAATTGAAGAGACACTAAAAGAGAGTTTACTTTTTACGGCCTTTATGGCATACATGTGAATGCCGTATAAAGCCATGCCGTAAATACTCAATTTTTTTTACGGCATACAATGAATGCCGTAAAAAAGGAAATGTGCGCACATAAAAATATGTTTCTCTTTACGGCATACATGTGCACGCCGTAAAGATTCCTCATTTTATAGCGTACACATGCATGCCATAAAAATAAGTATCAATTTAATTTTTTTAAAAATTTTTTCATTTATTTGATTACCATCAAACGTATAATAATTAAAGAACAAAATTATATACATTAACACATAAGTAATCATGTTTTCCACATTTTGGATGAACAAAAAAATGAGTACAATTTAATGCAAAATGAAAAAATGTAGATTGTGTCTAAATAATTCTAAAAAGCCAAAGACACTGATGAAGAAGTGTTGCTCCACTATATATTCTACCAAATAGTTCTGCCTCAGAGTCATCACTGGAGTCTTCAGATTTACCATTTTTCCAGCAGATCTGTAATTTGCAACTATAGAAACATTATGTTATTAGGAAGCTATAAATTATGGAATGCAAGGAAGAGAACTACAAAAAGAAATAACTCGCGCTCAGCTTCAATAGAAAATAAAGCGGTTCTCTACAGCTAGCACAAATTTTAGTCAGATGCTCTCTCTTCAATGGCTAAAACTTTGGATTGTTGTTTTATATACAGTCCTTGACTCCTTGTGCTTGTAAAATTGAGCAATCAACAGAAAAACCAAAATGTACTAAATCAAATGCTCGAATTGTGTGCACATTGCTTGTAAAGAATTACCTAATAACCAGACAAAGATATGCATACTCCTTTTAAGTTCTCTCCATTTATTGTCAACTTGTTTACTCCATTGCTTGCAATTCCAAGATTCTTTAAAGAAAATGGTCTGTTCAATTCAATCTCAAACAACGAAAGTAAAATGGGAATTGAAAAAGATACCCCCACTTTCCTATGCCCAATAAATCCTACTACTTGTAATTAGGACTGTTAATGTATTGCATTTTGATCCGAATCCGATCCGAATCCGACGAAATTAATGGGAGATGGATTTAGGGTCTCAATCCAATACCCCGATCAAGATTCGAATCTGATAATCCGTTAACTAAATGGATCAAATATGGATATAGGTCAATCCGATCCGATAACAATCCGATCCGATTTGTTATAAATAATTGAGTCG